CCAGTTCTCCTTTCCCCCATTCCTGGGAACCCCCATTCTGCTTTCTGTCTTTAGGAATTTCACTACTCTAGGTACCTTAAGTAAGTAGAATCATTGTCCTTTTGTGACTGGTGTATTTCACTTAACATGATGTCTTCAAGGTTCATCCATGTTGTAGTGTGTTATAATTACCTTCCTTTTTAAGGCTGAATACTAATCCAATGTATGCATAGACCACATTTTGTTTATTCATTCATTTGCCAATGGATACTTGGGTTGCTTCCACCTTTTAACTGTTGTGAATAACGCTGCTATGGACGTGGGTGTACTTTAGTGCTCTTTTTACAAAAGCAGTGCATAGCAGCTAGGTTCTTTTTTGCTCTAAACTAAGAGGAAGGTGTTTACCTTTTGGATTTTTGGTAGATAATGTTTTTGTTTTTTCCGGTGAAAGTAAGGCTTAAATTTGTAACTGCTATTTAATTATTGCTTTGCTTTCTAGGCAGTATATACCAAGAAGTTTTCAGTGGAGAGTGTGTCGTATTTAGAATCTTGTAGCAATTAATTGAGCCAACTAGTAACATTTGATGATACCCTAGCATTTTATATTAAGATGTGTCTCATGCATCTGACCCTTCAACTTTCTTCAAATTTCACTGCATTTATTTCTTAGGTGTACGTCCTAGATGTTCTGCCCAGACATACTCTCAACAGGCCTGTGAAAAGTCTTCTCTTAATATCAGTCCTTCCATCAACAGAGTTGGGGTGGAAATTTTATTTGATAAAACTGATCTAATAAAATGATGGTTTTCTTTTTCTTTCTTTCTTTTTTTTTTTTTGAGACGAGTCTCACTCTGTCACATGGGCTAGAGTGCCGTGGCGTCAGTCTAGCTCGCAGCAACCTCAAACTGCTGGGCTCAAGGCAAGTCTCTTGCCTCAGCCTCCGGAGTAGCTGGGATTATAGGTGTGTGCCACAAGTCCCAGCTAATTTATTTTATTTTTTTTTTGAGACAGAGTCTTGCTTTGTTACCCAGGCTAGAGTGAGTGCCATGGCTTCAGCCTAGCTCACAGCAACCTCAAACTCCTGGGCTCAAGCAACTCTGCTGCCTCAGCCTCCCAAGCAGCTGGGACTACAGGCATGCACCACCATGCCCGGCTAATTTTTTCTATATATATGTTAGTTGTCCAATTAATTTCTTTCTATTTATAGTAGAGACGGGTCTCGCTCTTGCTCAGGCTGGTTTCGAACTCCTGAGCTCGAGCAATCCGCCTGCCTCAGCCTCTCCCAGAGTGCTAGGATTACAGGCGTGAGCCACCACGCCCGGCAATTTTTTTCTATTTTTAATAGAGATGGGGTCTCACTCTTGCTCAGGCTGGTCTTAAACTCCTGAGCTCAAGCGATCCTCCTGCCTTGGCCTCCCAGAGTGCTAGGATTATAGGCATGAGCCGCCGTGCCTGGCCAAAGTAGTTGTTTTCGTATTAAAGGCCATCTTTGGGTATTAGATGGTGGGGACATTTGTAAGTTGCTCTTGTTAGGATAAAATGAGTTTAGGTTTGCTATATGAGTTATCAGATGATTCTTTGTATTGTGTAGGATTTTCCAGGGATTGGTTCCTTAATCATCTCATTTAATGCTTCCAAATTATTAGTCGTTTCTGATGGCATGCATAGTGGGGGGGGTGGTGGCAGAGGGGGAACTGCTAAGAGGATTGGGAAAAGCACACAAATGTTGAAGGACCATGCCAGAAACCCTTGTTAATTCACGATCATTTGAAATGAAGGAACGGCACTGTTGTGCGAGAGAGTATTTGATTAACACCCAGTTTCTCAGTCGAGCATTCTAGATGTATTCTTCCGCATGCAAAACTACGCTTGTGGCTCGTCTGCTCAGACCAAATATTCTTGCAAGAAACTAGTGACTAACTTTGTGGTGGGTGGTGAGATAGTATAATGGATTCTGAGTCATGATAGAATTTCCGGGGAGTGATTAACATTTGCGAATAGTATAGATTTGACTGTAAGGGGCTAGCCAATACAGTATGGTCAGATGCCATTAAGCAGTAGTATTAACAAAGTATTATGATAGCAAACTCTCTTGTAACTCTGGGCCTAAGCACATGAAGAAGTAAAATTGCATGTTTGAAAAGTTGCTGCTGTGTGGCTTGGACTTTCTTGCAGCATTTTTATGATAGCACTCTGGGAGGCGGAGGCAGGCAGATTGCTTGAGGTCAGGAGTTCGAAACCAGCCTGAGCAAGAGCGAGACCCCGTCTCTACTATAAATAGAGAGAAATTCATTGGCCAACTAATATATATAGAAAAAATTAGCCAGGCATGGTGGCGCATGCCTGTAGTCCCAGCTACTAGGGAGGCTAAGGCAGAAGGATTGCTTGAGCCCAGGAGTTTGAGGTTGCTGTGAGCTAGGCTGACACCATGGCACTCTAGCCCAGGCAACAGAGTGAGACTCTGTCTCAAAAAAAAAAAAAAAAAATGAGAACATAAATAGGTGTGGCATATACTTTTAAAAAGTTATATTGATATGTAATTCACATCCCATATAATTCAACAAATAAGTGAATCGTATAATATATGGTCTTTTGTGACTGGTTTTTTTCCACTTAGCGTAAACTTCATTCACGTTGTAGCTTTTATGAATACTTCATTCCTTTTTATTGCTGGGCAATGTGCCATTTTATGGATATGCCGCATTCATCCATTTATTAGTTGATAGACGTCTGGGCTGTGTTCACTTTTTGGCTATTATGAATATCCAGATAATGCTACCGTGGACATTTGTATCCAAGTTTTTTGTGGACATAAGTTGTCATTTCTCTTAGTTATATATCTAAGAGTGGAATTGCTGGGTCAGACAATAACACTATTTGACCTTTTGATCAACTGCCAAACTCTTTTCCAAAGTGACTGCACCATTTTACATTCCCACCAGTAGTGTATGTCTAACAATTTCTTCACAGCCTTGCCAACCTTGTTATAATCTGTCTTTTTGATTATATTAATTGTTATCCCAGTGGGTGTGAAGTATTATCTCATTGTGGTTTTGATTTTTCGTTTCCCCAATGTCAAATGATGTTGAGCATGTTTTCTTGTGCCTATTGGTCATTTTTGTGTCCTTTTTGGAGAGATGGACAGTCAATTCCTTTCCCCACTTCAAAATTGGGTTTTGTTTTTTTTTATTGAGTTATGAGAGTTTTTTAAATATATTCTGATGCAAGTCCCTCATTAGATATAAGATTTGCAAATGTTTTTTCAATTCTCTGGGTTGTCTTTTTCTCTCTTGATGGTGTCCTTTTTTTTTGTTTTTTTTTGAGACAGAGTCTCACTCTGTTGTCTGGGCTAGAGTGCCGTGATGTCAGCCTAGCTCACGACAACCTCAAACTCTTGTGCTCAGGTGATCCTCCTGCCTCAGCCTCCTGAGTAGCTGGGACTGCAGGTTTGCACCACCACACCTGGCTATTTTTTTCTATTTTTAGTAGAGCCGGGGTCTTGCTCTTGCTCAGACTGGTCTTGAACTCCTGAGCTCCAGTGATCCTCCTGCCTTGGCCTCCCGGAGTGTTAGGATTACAGGAGTGAGCCACTGAACCGGGCCTCAGTGGTGTCCCTTGAAGCACAAAAGTTTTTAATTTTGATGAGTTCCAGTTTGTTTATTTTTTGTTTTGTCACTTGTGTTTTAGGTATCTATTACCTAACCCAAGGTCATGTGGATTTACATGTGTATTTTCTTCTAAGAGTTTTATAGTTTTAGCTCTTATGTTTAGATCTTTGATCCATTTGGAGTTAGTTTTTGAGTGTGGTGTGAGATAGGGGTCCACCTTCTTTCTTTTGAAGGTGAATATCCATCCAAATGTCCTACCACCATTGGTTGAAAAGACTGTTCTTTCCCCATTGGATTATCTTGGCAATTGACCATAATATGGCAGTTTATTTCTAGACTCTGAATTCAATTCTGTTGATCTATGTATATATCCTGTCCTTCTATTAGTGCTACATTGTCTTAATTACTGTAGCTTTGTAGTAAGTTTTGAAACAGGAAGTGAGTCTTTCTACTTGGTTTTTCTTTTTCAAGATTGTTTTGGCTGTTCTGGATCTTTTGCATTTTTATGTGGATTTTAGGATCCACTTGTTGATTTTTGTAAAAAAGCCAGTTGGGATATTTGATAGGATTTGCCTTGAATCTTGGAGGTCCGTTCGGGGAGTATTGCCATCTTAACAGTATTGTCTTTCAATTCATGAACGTGAGATGTCTTCCCATTTATTTGTCTTACACTTATTTTTAAAATGAAAAACATTGACATAGTTATACATATTTCTAGGGAACATGTGATATTTTGTGTATACAATGTGTAATGATCACATCAGGGTAATTGAGATATCCATCACAAGTCTTTAATTTCTTTCAAAAATGTTTTGGAATTTTCAGTGTATGAGTTTTGCATTTCTTTTATATTTATTCCTAGGATTTTAATATTTTTTGATGCTATTATGAATTGTTTTAATTTCATTTTTAGGTTTTTCATTGCTGGTATATAGAAACACAACTGATTTTTATATATTTTGTATCCTGCAACCTTGCAGAACTTGTTTATTCTAATAGTTTTTTGGTGGATTCCTTAGGACTCCTTTTAGTGGATTCTGTATACAAGATCATATCATCTGGAAATAAAGATAGTTTTTACTTCTTCCATTCCAATCTGGATGCCTTTTATTTGTTTTTCTTGCCTAACTGCCCTGACTAGAATCTCAGGTACAATGTTGAATAGAAGTTGAGTAACAGACATCCTTGTCTTGTTCCCGAGGTTAGAGGGTAAGCCGTTCTGTCCTTCCCCTTTAAGTGAGATGTTAGCTGAGAGTTTTTATAGATACCCTTTATCAGGTAGGAAAAGTTCCCTTCTAGCCCTAGTTTGTTGAGTGTTCTTATTATGAAAGAGTGTTGTATTTTGTCACATGCTTTTTCTGAAATGAATTACTTTAAAAAAAATGACTATTGCTCTTGTTTTTTTCTCTGCAGAACTTGACTTGCATACCAAATGTGTGGTGGACGTTGATGCAAACAAGGTTATTCTTAATCCTGTAAATACTAATCTTTCCAAAGGAGATGCCCGGTAAGTTAAGAAACTGTGTTATGCTCAATGGATCTTTAAATACCTGGAAGCAGCAATGGCTGCTGAATTCGGTTCTGTTGAGCGGATATCTCGAGTGCTTACTCTGCAGAGATACATTACTGTCTTCTGCAAGCCTGCACTCAAGTCTGTAATATGGGATGACCAAGTGCCAGAATGAGTGGTGTAAGTAGTATTCGAAGCTCAGAGAAGAGAGTGAGCATTAGGTTGTGCAGTAATTCTTAAAGGAGAAGGTGCAGGCTGGAGGATTAGGTAGAATGTAAACAGGAACAATGGGGTAGAAGGGAAGTCTTCTAGGCCTGTGGTCCCCAACCCCTGGGCCACAAACTGGTATAGGCAGGAAAAATTGAAACCAGTCGCTGGTGCTAAAAAGGTTGGCAAGGGCGGCTTTTACTTCTGTCAGTTCAAATCCTTTGTACCTGCATGAAAGCATTCCTGCAGCCCTCAGTGACTCCTCCCCTCCGAATACCTGTCAGCTATAATCTGTCTACTTAATTTATTTATTTTAGACTGTATTGGATTGTTAGTTTCAGCCCTCAAGTGGCTTCTAAGGTCTTTGAGGGAAGAGCATACTTGCATATCACTTCTAGATTTGCATGACAGTATGAACAAAAGGAAGGGGAAGAAAGGCAATTTGGGAAAGAATGAGGTCAGTGGGGGTTTTCTTAGCAAATGAAGGAAAATTATTAAACTGGGATCAGATTACAGAAGACCTAGAAAGCAGACAAGGAAATTCGGTCTGTATTTTTCTCAGTGAGAGAATGGCTGTGAAAATTTTTGAGTGTTAGGATTTAGGAGGTGGATTAGGGAAAGCTGTTAATTGGCAATGCAGAGAGTGGGTCAGGGTGGGCAAGGCTGACTTTTTATGGAGATGGGCTGTGTACCAGGTGATTTTGTGCTGCCCCGGAAGTGGAGAGAACAGGGGAGAGAGATGGTGCCCGACAGGATGCTTTGTGTAAGTGGATTCTTCATAAATACTCGTAGAGACAGTGTTGTGTCTGGCACTCCGCAAATCTTGAGTTGAATTGAAAAGAGCACTGGTGAGCTCTAAGAAAAAACGGTGATATAGCACATCTTATATTTTCCTGGTTAGAGCTGGAACCCATACTACTAAGTGAAGTTTCCCAAGAATGGAAAAACAAGCACCACATATACTCACCAGCAAACTGGTATTAACTGAGCAGCACCTAAGTGGACACATAGGTACTACAGTAATAGGGCATTGGGCAGGGGGGAGGGGGTGGAGGGGGAGGGTATATACATACATAATGAGTGAGATGTGCACTGTCTGGGGGATGGTCATGCTGGAAACTCAGACTTGTGGGGGGAGGGGGGAAAGGGCATTTATTGAAACCTTAAAATCTGTACCCCCATAATATGCCGAAATAAAAAAAAAAAAGAAAAGAGCACTGGACTCAGAGAAAATCTGAAATTGAATCCTTACTTATGTTATTGCAGCTAGTTATTCTTAGCTTTTTTGAGCTGCTTCTGTCTGATGCCTACCTTATCTATCTCACAGAGGTTTCTTTCCGAAGATCACATTAATTAGTGATTTAAAAAATGTGAAGTGTTCTGTAAATGTTAAGGTTTATTGTTGTTGATGTAGATAGAAATACACATAACAAAGTATAGACGAGGCTATGATGAGGTCACTGTGCTCCAGCTTGGTGACAGAGAGACCCTCTCTACAAAAAAACCAAAAAAACAAACCCCAAACAAAGGGACATTTATCAAATATGGAAAAGATTAACAATGAACTCTTCCTATTCCACAACACTCTACTTGGAACACCCTAGTGACTAAAATATATGTGTTTGTCTGCCAGGCCGGTCTTGGTCTTACAAGTACTGAGTACACACGGATACATTTTATCTATTTATCCTCTCCCACAGAGCCGCACTGCCTGTACTACTAGCACAATTAAATATCTTTTTGGAATTGTCTTTTCTGAATCAAGTTAGTTTTGCAGATTGGCCCTTAGACTTTTCCAGATCTTCATCAGCAACATATTTATAATCGTTTTTTTTGTTGTTTTGTTTTTGTTTTTGTTTTTTTTGAGGCTTTGTTGCCCAGGTTAGAGAGTGCCATGGCGTCAGCCTAACTCACAGCAACCTCAAACTCCTGGGCTCCAGCGATCCTTCTGCCTCAGCCTCCTGAGTAGCTGGGACTGCAGGCATGCGCCACCATGCCTGGCTAATTTTTTCTACCTATATTAGTTGGCCAATTAATTTCTTTCTATTTATAGTAGAGACGGGGGTCCTGCTCTTGCTCAGGCTGGTCTCGAACTCCTGACCTTGAGCAATCCTCCCGCCTCAGCCTCCCAGAGTGCTAGGATTATAGGCGTGAGCCACCGTGCCCAGCCAGCAACATATTTATAAATCATCTTTTTGGACTACTAGATGATGAACTCATAATCTATTCCTAGTAGATTTTTATAAGTATAATGCTCAATGTGTAATTTTTTTTTGTTTTTTTGAGACAGAGTCTCACTCTGTTGTCTACACTAGAGTGCCTGGCATCAGCCTAGCTCACAGCAGCCTAAACTCCTGGGCTCAAGCAATCCTTCTGCCTCAGCCTCCTGAGTAGCTGGGACTGCAGGCATGTGCCACCATGCCTGGCTAATGTTTTCTATATATTTTTGGATGGCCGATTAATTTCTTTCTATTTTTAGTAGAGTATTTTAATTTTGTTGGCTAATTAATTTCTTTCTATTTTTAGTAGAGACGGGGTCTCACTTTTGCTCAGGCTGGTCTTGAACTTCTAACCTTGAGTGATTCTTCCGCCTCAGCTTCCCAGAGTGCTAAGATTACAGGAGTGAGCTACCGTGCCCAGCTCAATGTGTAATTTTTACCTTAGCATTTTATTTTATTTTTTAATTTTTATTTATTTATTTATTTATTTATTTATTTAATTTATTTATTTTTTGAGACAGAGTCTCGCTTTCTTGCCTATGCTAGAGTGAGTGCTGTGGCGTCATCCTAGCTCACAGCAACCTCAAACTCCTGGGCTCAAGGGATCCTACTGCCTCAGCCTCCCGAGTTGCTGGGACTACAGGCATGAGCCACCATGCCCAGCTAATTTTTTATACATATATATTAGTTGGCCAATTAATTTCTTTCTATTTTTATAGTAGAGACGGGGTCTCGCTCAGGTTGGTTTCGAACTCCTGACCTTGAGCAATCTGCCCGCCTCGGCCTCCCAGAGTGCTAGGATTACAAGCATGAGCCACCTCGCCCGGCTATTTATTTGTTTTTTTGAGACAGAGTCTCCCTTTGTTGCCCAGGCTAGAGTGAGTGCCATAGCATCAGCCTAGCTCACAGCAACCTCCAACTCCTGGGCTTAAGCAATCCTCTTGCCTCAGCCTCCCAAGTAGCTGGGACTACAGGCATGTGCCACCATGCCCGGCTAATTTTTTCTATATATATTAGTTGGTCAATTAATTTCTTTCTATTTATAGTTGAGACGGGGTCTCGCTCTTGCTCAGACTGGTTTCAAACTCCTGACCTCAAGCCATCCGCCCGCCTCGGCCTCCCAGAGTGATAGGATTACAGGCATGAGCCACCAAGCCCGGCCAATCTTAGCATTTTAGAGTGTCATATTTTGAGTCCTTTATGTAACTAGTTAAAATAATACCATGATGTAGAACAGTCCCTTTTAAAATAGCTAAATAAATCCATATATTTTTAATAACTAAATAAATCCTTATTCTATTCAGATTATATCTTTAAGATTTGGTAAACTTTAATAAAACTTATTAAACTTTTATCCTGTAATAAAATGTTAATGCTATTACCTGTCACCATGGTAGCGCAAAATAGTTTCTTAGGCCAAGTTTTGTCTTCATTTTAGTACTTTACTCACTAAACAAGCCTTTCCTGCTAACTGTGGCTAAAAGGGTAGATATACTTAAAATGTTGTTTTAAAAGGGATTAAGATGTATTTTTTACGGAGAGTGGTGGCTTCCACTTAACACATCATTCATGTTATAAAATTGGGTGTAGAGGTGAGTTTGGAGAATGGAAGGCATTGTCCCATGGGAACTGTCAGCTGTTTCAAGCAAAAGTGGTGTGCGATCCACAAACGAGTTTAATCCACAGCTCAAACAGTCTCACTTTTTTTTTTTTTTTTTTTTTTGAGACAGTTTTTTTTTTTGCCACGTCTATTTTTTTTTTTTTTTTTTTTGAGACAGAGTCTCGCTTTGTTGCCTAGGCTAGAGTGCCGTGGCGTCAGCCTAGCTCACAGCAACCTCAAACTCCTGGGCTCAAGCGATCCTCCTGCCTCAGCCTCCCAAGTAGCTGGGACTACAGGCATGCGCCAACATGCCCGGCTAATTTTTTCTATATATATTAGTTGGCCAATTAATTTCTTTCTCTTCATAGTAGAGACGGGGTATCACCCTTGCTCAGGCTGGTTTTGAACTCCTGACCTTGAGCAGTCCGCCCACTTCAGCCTCCCACAGTGCTAGGATCATAGGCGTGAGCCACCTTGCCCAGCCCAGTCTCACTTTTTATACTTTGGCATGCCACAGAATGCTTCTTAGGGCCAAGTGGATGTCTTTGGTTTGTTTACTTTTAAACAGCTTTATTGAGATATGCATGCCAGACAATTCACTCTTTTAAAGTGAACAATTTAATGGTTTTGGTTTTTCTTTGATTTACCGAGTTGTGCAACTCGCACCATTATCTACTTTATGTCATTTTCATCACTTATTAATGTATTCTCTGTGTCCAAGATTTAGGGTTTGCCTCTCCTGGACATTTCATATAAATGAAATTATACACTATGTGGTGTTCTGCAATTGGCTTCTTTTACTTAGCATGTTTTTTAGGTTTATCTTAGCATGTTTGAGTTTAGCATATCTTAAAAACTTTGCATGTTTTTGAGGTTTATCCATGTTGAGGGATTATGAGTACTGCATTCCTCTTTCTTTGCTATCTTTCATTTCCTGAAGGTTCTTGGTCTGTTGCCCAGGCTAGAGTGCA